ATGTATAATGGGCCACATAGAATATTTTTGCGAGCCACGAGTTGGTCACCCCTGCATTATACAATAATATTATTATACAATGCATTATACAATAACGATTTGGGGGATCTAGGACTTTTTGGTGATGCCATTTCGGTGTTGCTATTTCGGCGCTGCTGTTATTCAGTTTTATTCAGGTGATGCCGTTTCGGTGATTCAGATGAATTTTTAAAAATTATTGTTAATATAACTTATAAGTATAAACAAAAATTCAAATAAAATCAAAAAACGAGATACTATTCAAGTTAAATTTATTAAGTATACAGTTTTATACATTTTACGTCAACATTACATTTTTATCAATCATTATTTAAATTTACATTTTTTATATAAATACATTATTTATTTTAAAGTTATGTTATGAGATATTCTTCTTATAACACATAAAATGTTATTTTTGTCATACCTGTGGATTCATTTTAAAATCCGTTTTTTAGTATCCATATATTTTTTAAATTTTTTGCGGGGGGATTTGACCAGCCACTAATTGCTCATAAAAGGTGGGTAATATTTATTTATTGATTTAAACGTTGATTGGCTGGTTCTGTTTGATTATAAGTAGAGGAAATCGCGTTGGTCTTCGACATACCAATATAAAAAATCTACGAACCAATCAAGTAAGTCTATAAGTTCATTTGGTAAATTTTCTGATAAAATGTTTAATGAGGCGTCAATATCTGGCATAGGAACGAAAACTAATACTTTTACATGTACCTTCTGCAAATTCTGGTTCATTTTTTATCGGGAAATTAAATGCAGTTCATCCAATTTAAAACGAACATTATGACATGAATGAAAGTAATATCCAAATATTTCTGTCCAGTGAGACAGGGTTAAGCGCTCAACGTTCAGAGCATATTTCGTATCGGTCGGACTTAAATTCAGCGTTCGTCGTCGCCATCGATGTAATCGGCCCGACCGGTGTTTCTACACGTTTCCGAGGAACCGCGTGCGTGCAGGACCATTTCTCCTCCGCCTTTCAGATTTTCCAAACGTTTGTTTGTTGTTGTCAGCCATACGCGTCTAAAAGGGTGAGGGTGACGAACCCGGGACGACGGTTCGTGACTCGAGTGCGTTCGCCCGACGAGGGGGCGGAAGACGTGATCCTGCGGCGACAAGAGCTTGGGCGGCTTTTCAAAAATAATAATCACAAGAACGCCCTGAATACATATACTGCGTATAATAGTGTACCTATGCGTTGTGAGCGCGTTTCATACACGGAACGTGCTGCGCGGAGAGTCATATCCGTGAGTGCGCTCCGCCGGATTTTCGAGTGTAATAATCCCCGCGATGACGACGAGTTTAATCTATACGCATTTAACTGGTTTTTTTTTTTTTAATACTTTCACGCGTTTTTATTACAGATTCCTCTACCGTTCGCGTGTGCACGTTTACTGTGCTTTGAAAACGCCGCCGGTCGAGAAATATATTCAGATGACAAAAAAAGCAGGGGAGAGGACCATGATCTTTATACCATTTTTAATGTTCCTTGGTCCTATCCATACAGATTTTTATTAGTCATGTGTGTATATCATATAATTTATAATGTGTAATCATTATTTGATATGCGTCAGTTTCTGGGAGCTATTAGCTAAGGTCGACCGCCGATGTGTCTACTCGATGAATATTTAATGTTCAAATGCACTTGGTGAATAATTTATCTATAAATGTGATGTGTTAATGATGTGCATTGCATCGTGCATGCATCCGGTACCACGGACATTGGCAATGTAATACTTGTATTTTGTATGCGTATAATAAGACACTACCGACATCCATACATAAGTATTATTATGTACTTATAGATTATAGTGATATATTTATATATATAAATGCGTAATGCATTTTTATGTATTACGACAGTACGATAGTGTTTATCTTTATGCGTTAGAGAAACAACTGGAGACGAAAGACGAATCATTGTGTGTCAACGTTTTTGTCGGTTGAACAAACGAAAAAAAAACACATCAGCTGTTGTACTTATATTTTATAAAACGTGAACGTAAATACACACAATTTAAAACATACGCAGAGTTCGTTTGTGAGAAGCGAGCTCCTGTATTATAAATTAATTATCATATAGAAAAGAAATAGAACAATACGAAGTTGGTGTATAAGTACTTTTCCAAATCCTATTTATTACATTGTGCATGTTTCAAGGATTTTCGATGATTAATTCATAGTTTCTGATGATTAAATTTGTTAATATGTAAGCAAAGAATTGAGGTCATACGACAATTTTGAACATTTGTACGTATTACACGATTATGTAGTCGGTACCTTGTTACATTTGCCATGAATGCCTGTTTGCATAAATACCAATGTCAAATTAGTATGTTAGTGAAATGCTTTATTTTTAGTCTCTACGTGTATTTTCGCTATAGGTTAGCGGTAGGTTTTGTTTTTATACTGTAGTAAGCATGGGAAATTTAAAAAAAATAATTTTTTTTGTACTCATCAAGTTACCAATAGGTTTATGATAAAAATTTTCTGAGACATCAGTTATTGTGTAATAGTAGTACTGAATGTTTAAAACTCGCTCGGAAGTAAGGAAGTATGTAGAAATGTATGAATGTATGAAATAGTAAGAAATATGGCCAAATATTCAAATGTGTTACGAAACAATAATATTTTATTGATAAGACGATTGCCGAGAAAAATTGGGTTGTTAGTTCCCAAGGTGTTTATGGGTTAAAAAGATTGCCTCATACAGAAATTATTAAAAAGTAGGAAAAATCGGTCCATGGCGTTATCCATAAGAAACTTTTTTTGTTTATCATTATACTGACACATACTTTTCTGTTATTCATTTGCATTTCGTTAAGTGATCTTTAGATAATACAAATACATTATTTTTGTTATTGTTAGGTGTTAATCAATTAATATATTAATATGTCAACAAATCAAAAAAAAAAAAAAAACACTGGTGGTTCATCTTGTGCCGTAGCGATTATTGATCCAAATGAAATATAATAACCAACTTGCAGCATCGTTGAATTAAAAAAGAAAAGCAGATTCCAGGAGTGCGCTTAGACATTTTTTTCAAAAATGAGGGGTCAATATTTTCATTACTACGTATTTCTAATATATTTATTTCACAAGATAATAATTTTGGTGATAATTCATGTTATTGAACTATCAAAGATAGATCGACAATGGGTAACCCTGGAAAATATTTATGTTATTAGACTTAAATTGTATAAAAATTATATAATATACTATAATATTTATTTATAATACGTCTAAAAAATTATGTAAATGGAGACTGTGATTTTAATTAAAATTAATTCATTTTATCATCGATTTGACTTCATCCTTTTTTTTTTTTTACTAAGTACACTATATTAAATTTCTTCAAACTCCAAAATACTATTAGGAATACTGCCCATTTCTAGTCATATAAATGTTATGTGTTTCATTTTTATTACATACAATATAATGAGTATTTACTATTTAAACTGTTGTAATAAATAAAGTAGTATAAATAGTGAATTCATATAGTACATTTTATTGTCATAGAACAACAATAAATATTTTCAATCGGCGTACATTTACAGTAATTTTACGTGTAGATTATACGACGCCGCGACCATGCAATGTCTCTTACGGGTAACGTTACGATTATTATGACGCTGTGGGGGTTCGCATTGCTTACATGGTTATAAAGCAACCCCTATAATCTGTACATCTTAGTTAGTTCTGGGTCGTGATTTACGGCAGACTAAGAGGGATGACAACGAAGTGCATTGTGCTTTTTTGTGTTCTAATAAGTTTTTATTGAATAATCTGCGTTTCTATGTTTATATGTATATAGGAGCCATAGACAATAAAAAAATAAATAACAATTTGTTTATAATTTTAATAGTATCATGTTTAGGTATATAAGTGTCATCACCATCGATAATACATATATAATACATAGACATGTATTATCTATGGTCATCACATCCATAGGGTAGTTAAGTGTAAAAATGTATGATAATTTTAAGTAATTAACTTTATTTATTATATTATTCTGTTTCGTTAAATGCAATGCAGTCATAAAGATATAAAATATATTTCATTTTATATAATTTTTAAAATTATAAGAAGTTCCTAAATTACATCCATAGATTACATAAAATATCTAATTTTAAAGCATTGTCTGTTTTCAAATTTTAAGTACCTAGTTTCCTATATCTTTTTTACAGTATGTTACACCGTTGTCATCAATATTTTTAATTCGTAGAACATAACAAACTTTGTTGGGGTTAGTATTTTAGATTGAAACTTAAGTATTAACTTCGTTTGATACCGATTATCTATTAAGACTATCATCTGATTTACATTTTTGAAAAAAGTTCCTTGTGTCCATAACATTATATTAAATGGTGACAGGCAGGGCCGGCGAGAGGGTGGGGCAGGGAGGACTAGAGCCTCGGGGCCCGTACGTCCGAAAGGGCTAGTCGTTTCGGCCTTGTATACAATGTTTTTGTTGTACCAAAGCATGTACAAGTGGTCTTGGTGCGTCTTGGTCAAACAATTGCAAAGGGAAGGGGTCCCGTAACCCCCGCAGCCTCGGGGCCATCAGAAGTTCTCGCCGGCCCTGGTGGCAGGTTGTACCTTGCCTAAATTCGTGTGTTTAATTGCCGCGGGAACGTAAAAACAAAATAATAATACCTACCTATATTGATTTATTTACAAACTATCAGAAAAGTATTAATTATTTTACCGCCGTACATAAAGGTTAATTAAGAGTTGATCAATCTGCGATAAGTTAACGTTTTGTGTGTAGCGAGTGAAATGTGATACAAATGTGAAAATTTGTAGCTAATGTGGCCAATATAGACAATATTTGGAATTAAAATTCCGTGTTACGCTTTTCACTACGGTCGGTAGACCAGCGCGTTATCAATTATTGTTTTCGACAATCCGACTTATCTACTCGCCGGCCGCTGAACGAATGGCGAACAGGTACGATACGGTTGTTATCACGAATACGCCCGTGCGACTCGATCGCAAAATTTGTTTACAAATTTGATTACAAAATTTGTTTTTGTGGTATTTTTCCTACGTTTGCGCGACCGTCTCTTGTGCAGGTTTCGGTCGGTACTCGACACCGGCAGCTAAGTCGCCTTTTGGACTCTTGAGGTTAGTCGACGATCGACGGACACGCGTTTGAATGATGCACACCGTTGTCGGTTTTCCAACGTGCTGAAAACAATAATGGTGTTCACCTTCAAGATTACCTGATCTCGTTTCGGTTAGGTTAACTAGTGTCACCGTTCTCGACTGAGTTTTTACAAACGAACCACCATCATGTCTTTCAGCTTCTTGGCATTTACTTATATTGTGGCCATGATATCGGACGCTTTCTTGATATTTTTTTCAATATTTCATGTGAGTACCTATATGATTACCATATTATATTCTGTTGGTGCTCTGTTTGTTTTTTTTTTTTTATATAAGAATGTAGACACTATATTTAATACTATGATGGTAACAAAGAGCAACAGGATCTCGATGAACCTATGCATTTCCCTTCCTTTGAACACCAAACCTAATGCGCCTAAAAATTTAACACACTAGTTGAATATTATTTTAATTTTAATCACAAGTTTTTGTTAGATTGGTATTTATCTGTTATTATCAGGGTTGGGATTTTATAGCACTTAAAATTGCAAAAATATGCGCTATAATATTACCTTAAAAATCGCTAAATAAGCTCTAAAAATATGCAATAAAAACAACAAAAAAATAATAATTTTATATGAGTACACGAGACGAATGTGGACTGTATAAAGGGAATTCTACACTCGTTCATTGATAATCGGCTTTTAGTGGATTTAATAGAAATTGACAAAAAAAAACCAATCAAAATCAACAGATAACAAAAATTAGAACCTAATAACTAAAACAAAATTATTGTATTATATTATACCTACCTATATATTATCTCTGTAATTGTACAGAGTCGCATCAGCGTAATCAGTCTATTAACTTAATCTATACATTTATAATTAAAATTTGAAATTAAAATTTTGAACCTTGAAAATTAGATTAATAAAATCAAAAAACACGTTTACCAAAATACAATTTCATAAAATATGCCCGATTTTAATTAAAACAGATAAAAAGCAAAAAAGTATCAAAAAATCCAAAAAAAGCACTATAAACTAAAAAACGCATAATATCCAAAAAAAAAGCAAAATAAAATTTTTTATTTGAATTCTCTGTATTATGAAACACATTTTTAGTCTACTCTGCTATTTTTTAAGCATCTCATAAGAAATATGCAAATGCTATAAAATCCTAACTCTGGTTATTATATTAATAATTTTCTGTTTATATTACGTGTAAAATGCTTTATACTAATAGTTATATCTGGTTGTTTATATGGAGTGTAAATTAGAACTACAAATGTCATTATTTGTTATGAAATATTATACTAAAAATATATGCTTATTACAGAATAAGTATTTAATTAATAAATCATAATTAGAAATCTAATATCAAAAGGTTAGTTAAACTATATAATATAAATTGTTACAAAACTAAATTTTGCTAATTTAAGTCAGTGATAGAAATAATTCATAGATGGTTGTGTTATTAATGATTTATACTAACTAATAAGTTTACTGAATAATTATTTTATTGATAATTTAGTTTTAGATAACAGCAAAATGGGCATGTTAATGAATTTTAAATAATTGTAATAAAATAAACTCTATTTCATCAAAAGCATATATATATAGTGTATTATAGAGTAATTAAACAATTATTCTTAATAAGTTTTTTATTTAGAATTCTGTGATACATGATTATTACTATTTTTTATTTAATTTAGTTATAAATAATCTAAAATTTATTTAAAGTGCAATTAGCGATTAAAATTCTTTTTCTTTTAGGTCATTGCATTTGATGAATTAAAAACTGACGGCAAAAATCCCATTGATCAATGTAACAGTCTAAATCCTGTAAGTACAATTTATGATTTATAATTTTATACATTTTAAAATGTAAAAGCTTATATAAGTATAAGAAACTTAATAATTTTCATGTGACTTGATCAAAGTTGAAGTAATTGTAATTTATAATTTTATATTATTTCATTAAAGTCAAAAATATTTTAACAATTCTAGATATTGCTAAAACATATTAGTTGAATAATTTATAGTCTATTATTTTAATTCTTTGTTTGGAACAGTGATATTTATGTTTAATAAGTTGTATATTATGATTTGAAAAACTAGTGAAATTTAAATAATTTACAGAAAACAGTACCATTAAGTTAAAAAATTTTAAATTTAATATTGTATATTTTTACTTTTTAATATATTATTTTGCTAAACTTTAATTTTTTGCTGTTCTTGTGTGTTTACAATATCATAGTAGTTTATACGTTATCATAATCTATTATAGTTATAGTATAAATAATTCTTTATTAGTTGTTATACATAAGTTAATTGTTTTATTATATATTTTCAAGTGAGAAATATATTTATTAGTTTTATGATGGTAATTTATTTGTTTGTATGGTATTATTTCCATGAATAATTTAAAAATTTAATTTTATTCAATAACAGCTAGTAAGATGTGAATAGTATAAATTCACACTTATAAAATATCTTATGTTATTAGACAATATAATTAATTTACATTTATTTGATATTATTTATAATTTGATTCTTAAAATTTTATCTCATTTATATATATTAAAGCTAATTATGTTTATTTTTTTCTTAATTATTGTAAATGTTTCAACATTTTTCTTTTATATTTTTATGAATTTTTATCTTTTATTTTTAAGCTTAAAGAAGTTTTATAAACTAGTTTATTCTATAATAAGATATTTAATTAGGATTTTCATAATATGTATCACGTTAGAATATTAATTAATTAAGCATTTATTTAGAGTACTTGTGAGTGGTAATTGTGTTTTCATATTGAATATAAATATTCCCAAAAGCCTGTTGTGTAAAATAGCTACGACTTGTTTAATAAACAATAAACATTGTTGCTTAAAATATACATTAATTCAGTGAAATATAACGAGCCAAATACTTATCTTTTTATAATATTTATACTATAGAAAACAACTGCAAATAAAATTTAAGTTAACTTTTCAATTATTATATTTTCACTTAAACTTTTATATTTAATAATTAAAACTTATATTAACTTATTAAAAATTATTTATTAATACTAAATAGGTAGATTAGCTTTTTCTTTTTAAAATACAATTTCAATAACTGTTGTAATAAATTCACTCATAATTTATCATTATTTTCTTGATAAATTGTAGTCATTTAAAGTCATCATGATGTTTGTATATATAGACTGTTCTGCAATATAGTTTTTTTAATCCAATAATGAATGTGTTTATATGATATAATGTAAGTAAAAATATTTAACTTTAAATTTCAGTTAGTGATTCCAGAGTATCTACTACACTTCTTCTTCAATGTTTTATTTTTGTTTGGGGGCCAATGGATTTCTCTTGCTATCAATGTACCTTTGATGGCCTATCATATCACAAAGTAATAATACAAAATAATTAGTATTAATTAGTACTATCTATTATTTCATTTTTTTTAAGGCTGCCATTTTAATTTTGCGTTTATTAACTAAATAAGGAAACTAATTGTTAAGTTTTCACAGGTATCGAAATAGATCCGTACATGGATTTGGCTTGTATGATCCAACAAGTATTATGAATGCTGACAAATTGAATAAATATCAACGTGAAGGTTGGATAAAGCTGGCATTTTATTTGTTTTCATTTTTCTACTATTTATATGGGTAACTACATTTTATTTTTCCAGTATGAATTAATTTGTTTTATTTTTTAATTTTTAATTTTAGAATGATACGATCATTGATAACGGTTTAAAGCAGTGATGTTTGAACAAATAAATGAACAAAAGTATCTTTCATCAAAAAGTAACTACCAGAAAAGATATTATATTTATGTAAACTTACTATTAAAATATTTATTAAGAGATTCAGAAGAAACAAGAATCAGTGCATTTTTTGTGACTTCTTGTTTTTTTTATATTGTTATTTAATACAATTATAAAACGGCATTTCATCATTTAAATTAGCAATTTAACTTTTATAATTGTTATTGTTAACTTTAAAAATTATGACTTATCAAATTTCTAAAAATTATTTATTGAAATATGTATATCATTTTAAACAAATTATATTTATTAAAATTATTTCATTCTTTTTTTATATGTATAAAAATATATCAACAAAGTAGTTAATTATGAATGTATAAAATAGTCTTAATATTTATATATTTTAAAGTAGAATTTATTTTATAGCTGGGTATCAAAAATTATATTTAGTGTGCCTTTTAATTATTATTTTTATGACTTGATTCAGCTAGTCGAGTTGAAATCTGAATTATCAATACTGTTCATGGTATAGATTGATTTTAAATAATTGAAACCCATATTTTCTATAATTGTTGTCAATGTTTTTTAGATATTTGCATACTATTACAATTAAGGTGCAGTTCTGATAAATATTGATATCCTGAAAGTTTTGGTGTTACACTTCCCGTTGAAATTAGATTGTATTTTTATAAGCTCAAAAGAATGCTGTAACAATTATTAATATAATTTAGTAATTGTATTATTTTATATTAAACAACATTATTCATACTTTTGTAAAATTAATTTTGTTTATATTATAAATTTTAAAATTGTCATTTTTACTATGGAATTTTCAGAAGTTTAGATAATTTCTCAAAGAGATATAATTTTAATGATATCTAAGACTGCCTTAGTAATTATTGGATTTTGATAAATTGTATCATTTAAGACTACCAAATATATGGCAGAAAAAATGCATTGCTTATTATATTGTTATACGCATTAATAAACTTAATACAAATGATAGTGTAAAATTATAACTAATTAAATATGAAGAAGAAAACTCAGTTTAGAATTTGGTAAATAAAAAAAAATAAAAAAACTGAAAATATATTTTTGTCACGTTTTATCATTTTACAACTGTAAAGTGTTGATAACTATTCAAATATTTAACGATTGAGAATGATATGAGGGCCGTTGGTGTGTGGGTAGACCCCCTCGAAAATCGTGATGAGTGGAGATTTAAGACAAGGGTGGCTGACCCCAAATAGTTGGGAGAAAGGCGAAGAAGAAGAATCATAGAAAATAAATATTGAAGTACTAGTAACATACCAGTAATCATAACTTGATAAATACCTATTATTACTGTCCGGTACAGCAATAGTTTAATTGTACAGGCAAACGTATTAACTTCAGTCTAGCATTGATTTTCATGTGTGTATGAATTATGACTCATGAAATGATGTACGAGTAGGTACCGTATTAAAATTGGTGTACATTGTAAAAGCAAACTTTTTACTGAAACGGTTACGTTTTAATGAAAAAAATAAGAATAATTGGTATCAAATTATTGTTGCGCAGGGGAAGAGGGTCGCCATTCGAGTGAAATCCGAATATAAAAACGTACCATATGACACGAACCGTATCACTGTACTACCTTATTTGATGTTAGCGCATTAGTAACGTACATTATCATTATTAATATTGTGTTAATCATTGACGCGCTTTTAATTGTTTTCATTCAGCTTCGTATTTCGGATTATTTTTTAGAGAGGGGGATATTTACTTACTACATAATTATTATTCTAGTAACAACGTTTACATACTTTAATTATGTATAACGTAGTTTATATAGTTGTATCACAATAAATAAAATAAGGATAAATTATTTATTTTTATCATACTTCTAAGGATTTCAAACATTCATAAAAGAAAAAATTAATAGGTACATGTACAACAGTAATCAGTGGCGTAGTTACAGGGAGGGTGTAAGGGGTTTCCACCCCCCCCCCACAGATTTTTTTTTAATGATATTTGATTATTATTTATTAATATTTATATATTATAGTAAAATATTTTGATTTTACTATGATTAAGTATATATTAAAAATTGAATAACAAAATAATTTTCATTAATACGGGACATAATAACACTATTTTA